GTGGGATTGAGTGGATTACGCGGCTTCGACCATTGCCCAGAGCAATAGATCCATCCATCAATCAATCAATCAAGCAAGATCCACCATCTGCGTATCCGGCACCATGCTGGGCTCTCTTGATTCCTCCCGCTTGCTTTCCTGTTCCCCCTTAGGGTTCGCCTCTGCCCTTCCCCTCCCCCTCCCCTTCCCCTTCCCCTTCCTCCCCGGCCTCTCCACGACAACCTCCTCCCCCCCATCCGAGTCTTCCTCGCCGCCCTGCTCCTCTTCCCTCTCCCTCCTCTCCTCCGCTCTTCTCAACCTTCTCACTGTCACAACATCCGTATCAAGATCATGCATAGAAATATGCACCGAGCACACAGGACACTCGACGCATGGGACACGCTTGCCATTAGAAGGGATAATTATGCGCTTCTTACTCCGTTCAATCATCGCGACGATGGCAGTCCGCTCGAAGCTATGGGGACATTTCATGCTTTTGACAGGGTCTGTGAAAGGGAGGAGGGTTATTGGGCAGCGGAGGGAGACTCGTTCGCTGCGGATGGCTAGGTCATCGGAGTCGTCTAAAGTCGGCTCTACCTTGGCATCCTTTGCCCCGCTGGAGGTGTTGGTGGTTGTGGCTTCGCCAAGGGTAGCCGTAGTAGGTTGTTCAACGTCTGCGAACCAAGTGGACGGGTGCGGGAGAGGCGGGATCTCATCGCCAGGATATTTCGATTCGTGCACTACGCGGTAGAAACCAATGTATTTGTCATTGGTTGTGTATCTGATTGATGATTTGTGAGTATCAATATGTAAATATGAGATTGTGTCCGGGCAACAAGTCGAGGAATGCATACCGATCTGTCAACGACGTCTCCTTCCACTGGGCCTTCTTCTCCTTCAATTCCGTCCGCAGCACCTTGGACGTTCCACCATTTCGTATCTGGGGAGCCTCCTCTGCGGAAAGTTCACCATCATCTTGATCCTCCCCTTCATCTTCTTCACTCTCCTCCCCAGGCCGCCTCCTCATCCTCCTCCGCTTCGCCTGCGGCTGCGCGGCTACCGCCTCAACCGCCTGCTGATGAATCCGATTCAAACCATCCGTCAACGAAATAGTACGCGCCTCCGCATCGACAATTTGGCGCATCTTCTCCTCCAACTGGCCTGTCATCGTCTTCACGCGCTCTTCCAAATCAACAATTCTAATATTCACCTCTTCACCTTCCCCATCACCCTGCTCTACTTCCTCATCATCCTCCACATCCACCGCTTTCCTCTTCATTCCCGTTCTCCTCGCCTCTCGCGCCTTCGCGTCGGCCAGTCGATCATTAACCATTCCCGCGCACTCCGTCAACGCTTGCGCGGCAGCCTTTAGTTGCGTCTGCATCACTGTCAGATGCGGGAAACGTTGCAGTTGGCCGAGTTTATGTATCGTAGTGGCGTTCAAAGGGGCGACTTGGGGCTGGTAGGTGGGTAGCTGTAGAATAGTGCGACGGGCGGGCTGACCTTGTCGCCGATCGCTTGCTCCCTGGACATCGGAGCGGCGCGCTGGTCTGTTACTTCGGGGTTCTAAGGGAGTATCGCGCGAGGGAATTGATTGCCTAGTGCGTGGTGTGTGATTGACGGACATGGTTTCGGTTTCTGAAGTGTGAGTTAATGGGAAATATTGTTGAGAAGGAGGTCCGCAAGTTGAACCTCTGGCTCGTAAATGAGATTTAAAGTGAGATTCCAGATGAGAACAGCGGGAAGACGCGACGTGATGGCGCTAAAACGTGACTAGTAAACTCGAAGTCATGTGATATGGCTCCGCTTGGTCAAGGATATTATTCCATTTGAGCTTGAGATTTTCGGATTCAAAACGTTCGTGGACATTAGTGAGGCACATAGAACGGTGGCTATGAATATACTATTATGTTACTGAAAGCTACATAAATCGTGCTCAGCTTTATTCACTGCATAAGAGCGGATTGTAACTCTGAACGATCAATATATGTCGTATGTGAAGTATATGACTGAAGAAAGCGTTTGAATATCACAGGCCGTGTCAAGTCAAAGTCTTCAGATGTGGATAGATGTACTGTACATAACATGAAGAGATACCAATCAACTGGAACCCTACCGGACTATGCCTGCCCATATGTTTTCGTGTATGCGTAATTGTAGTTTCTGTAAAAGTTATAGTAAAGTAGAGCATCATGAGATAGAATAACCGAATTTCGAAATGCCAATAAACAAAAAAGAAATCAAAAAAACACAGGAAACATGTCTAGCGTAAAATGCATGGCATGGAATATGCAAATTATGTGACAGACGTAGTATCACAAGGGCACCACGTAGACGGAGGTTAAATAAGTTAGCAGTCAGTAGCTTAATGAACATCGTTAGACCTTGTAGAAGCAAAACGCATGGTAAAAGCCTACAGCAAAAAATATGTTAGCCTAACTACATCTCAACCAGCCTAGAACAGTTAAAACAGAGTAATAAAGACATACTAGCAGCTTCCAACTCCTCCTCATTGACAAGCATAGGCCCACCTCCTCGCGCCCGAACGCCCATGCGCTCACTGAGTGGTCCCAGGATAGGATCATCCTTCTCCTCATTCCATATATCCAGGAAAGGCTTGCGGTATTGAAGTTCCAGATTGTAATCTTGCGTCAAACTGAAGCAGGGAAAAGATAATAGAATGGGTTAGCACAAGGCTCAGTGCAAAATGTAATAGGCGTATATACTGTGTGCTACTCACGCTCTGAAAGCTTCCCATGGTACGACATATTCCGGAATCTCCTCAACAGCCTCTTCCATGAAATAGCTATATTTCCAGCCAAACGCAGGGCGAAAAACACCATCCTCGGGCGTCTCGCCGGGGAACCGGACGCGATAGATACTGTTCCCCCACTCGGGTACTGTCATTGGCGATTCCTCCACTTCACCATCCTCACGCTCACTATCAAGCTTAGCAGCCGCGGCAGCGGCAGCAACCTCCTGCTGTTTCTTTTTCTCATGGAATTCCACAACTTTGGCGCTGAGCACGTCTGAATTGGGCCCTACGCCGATGAAACGGCCGCCCTTCTTCAACAAACCAGCGACATTGTGCAGCATCTGCCGGGCCTTCTCTTCGCTCTCAAAGGCATAATGCATGCTAAACATGGAGACGACAATGTCAAAGCCACCACCGCCCCATCGAGCCGCCATCATCGACCCATCAGGCCCAACGCTTCCGTCAATACCGACTTGTTGCACAATCGGAATATCACCAACCCATTCACCGAAACAGTCCTTAGGATAAAATTCCGCATGGAAGAGTGGATGACCTCTACCCCTAATCCTGTCCTTCCCTCTTCTCATGCTAATGTATCTCTCGCGAGCCTGTTCGATAGATATTTCCGCAGGATCCAAGCCCACGTAAAGATCTACCGGTTGCGGAGCCTGCTGCCACTTGCCCAGATCACCCCCCTTACCACATCCCACATCGATGACAAGCAGCTTTTTCTCTTCTGCAGGCTCCGCGCCAGCCCAATCCCTCCCGTTTGTTCGAGCCAAGAATTCCTCATCAGGAGAGAACTTCTGGATAACCGTACTTTTAATCCAATTGTTAAAACTTCGCAGGCCCTTTATTCTGCTATCTGTCTTCCGCCATTCCCTACCTCTTTCCGGAACCGCATTGTAATGTTGACGAACGACATCGTGGACTCCACGCTCTCGCAATGCCAACTTGGCTTCCTCCTCCATCTGCCGTCTTCGTTCCTCCTGTCTGTGTTTCAGCGCTTCAAGATTTGCAGACCCGATCCGAGCTGCTCCACCCGGTCTCTTTCTTTGTCTTGGGGCAGAAGCATCTGGGGATTCAGAACGCCGTATTGGAGAAGGTGACGGTGACCTGCGCGTTTGGAGGCCTCTATGTCTTGAATCGGGAGAGCGATCGCGAAGTGAGTAAGCAGATGGCGGGGCCTTTCCACGTTTTTTATTCTTCAGTGAACTTTCTTCCTGCCGTTTGCGCTTTGACACCGGTCGTTGTTCGGGGGCGGGTTCTGTTTTTTCGGGCTGGGGGTCATTTTCCGGCAATTTTCTCTTCCTTTCGTTGCTATCGGTCTTATTCTTTTGTCGGGCCTCTAGTGGTTCCGCGTGTCCATTGTGAGTTGATTTGGGGCTCTGGGAGGATGGTCCACCACTGCGTGGCAATTCATCTATATTGAAGGTCGTGAACATTAGAGGCTGTTCCTATATTTTCCTGGGCATTTTGAAGGGTGCTAGGAAATATTCACCGTGCGCTATATCCGAGGAAGAGCCCATTGGAATAAAAGAAGGAGCAGCGGAAGGGGTCTGTTTCTTGTGGGTAGAATGAGACGAAAGAAAAGTCGACGAGTGTTTGGTGATGTTATTTTTGTTATGGTTGTGAGGTGGAGAGAAGCTTCTTTCAGGCTTTGAGCCCCTGCCGCCACTATTGATAGTTTCCTGCGGCGTGGAGTGGATGGGCGGAGTCTCCTGCAGAATAAGCCCGCCAACGGGTCCAGATCAGTCCCACCAGGCGCTTGAAAGCTAGGAAGAATGGAGGAAAACCAAGCGGGCCGAAACATGGGTTAAACCCGTCCCACGGCGACGCGACGTGCCCTTTAAACGGATGTAGTTTAACTTCAAAATAAGCGGTAGTATACCTTTTTTAAAGAGTTGTATGAAGGACTCTTCTCTTCATTATTATGGGCGGGTGTGGATCCTCGTGAACGCAAAGCTTCATCGTTCGTCTGTTCCTCTTCGGCTAGTTCATGAACCTTGATGCGCTCTGCCGCACTAGCTAGTGGAGGACCATCATCAGAGACGGTATACGTGTCTCGGGCTGGATCGTACATTGTAATGGAAGCACGTCTTCTGTCAGCAGGGGTGCGCGCAGCCATTTCTGTCTAATTGCATACTGGCGACGGGGTATGTCGAGCGTTGTCAAAAAATCGCATTTGGAGTAAAAGTCACGTGCCCGTTGAGCCTTGCTGAGGTAATCTGACAGGGCCCTGTCTTTATTGGTACGTACCAGGTACAGTTCCCAAATTACAATATTTTGTATATCATTCATTTGTCTCTAATCACTGCTGCAGTCACCCAATTTGACATTGTAATAGATAGAATAGAAAACACATGAATAGAATAGAGCTAGTTACTATTAGTTTAAAGAAAATATGTAAGAAGAATAGAGATAAATGAGATTTAAATATCACGGCACACTATTTGTCTGGAAATCACAAAAGTCTCAAACTTATGAGACGGTACTGTACATCGATGGAGGTATCTACGTGGTGGATTTCAGCCACAGAGCTCAAGAAACGTTGCCATTGGAGAAAGCAGCAGAATATTGAGATCATAACACTCGATGGAAATTGGACGCTGAATGAACATGATGGGTATAAATGTAATATACATGCCTGGAAAAGCAAACCAGAGGAATCGCAAAACCAACAAGAAAGGCCCGCTTGAAAATATGCCAAAGATCGGATCGTCATTATTAACCAAGTGATATAATTCTCGTATCCCCAGCAGCTCATTTCGTTTTCTTCAGCCCCTTCACGTGTAATGACTGCCTCACTCTCCGCAGTTTAGTCCACCATTCTCTATCCCGTAGTTTCTGCGTTTCATCGTCATCAACCTTAGCTTCTCCAGGACTTGCCAGAGATTCCTGACTAGTTATCTCAGCGGAAGTTGATGGCACATCACATCTCGTCCGTCGACGATGCATAGTCTTAATCGCCTGGCTCAAAATCTCCCAGCCGCTCTGCGGTTTACCGTTGAAACCATGTAAGCCAGGTTTCCCGCCACCACTCTGCGTTTTCGGATTGACCCATGGGCAGTAATCCATATGCTCATCAACGACGTCGAGTTTAGTGTACACAGAAACACTCCCATCCTCCTTGGGTTTATACATCCACAATCCCAGCCGGCGGAAACAGGCACCGCATGTTGCTAAGCCTGCGCCAACATCGGGGCCAGCATCCCAGCCAAAAGCCGCAAGTACAAACGCCGCTTTATTTAGTTCGGCTCCTATCTTCTGAGAAGATATATTGCCGTGACTATCGCCATTCTTGGTGGCTGGCTGGGGGGTATTGTTGGTAGTTTCTCTTCGTGTTTCTCTCTGTGTTTCGGGCTCTAGGTTACCACCTAGCAATGCCGGAGGTAATATACTGATGGTTCCGTCTAAATCCAGTTTAGACGGCGGTTCGATGTTTTCGATTGAGGGTAATTTAGACTCGAGACGGGCAAGATTCAAATAACGCGCATGTAGACCATTTACTGCTGTTTCCGGATTTGTGAGCGGCAGCCTCTGAATAGTGTCTAAATTCAGGTGTTAGCAAATCCCAATTCTCACTTTTCCATCTAGAAGGCGAGTCAGAATTACCATCGCATCCACTTTTCCGCCACGGACAACGTTCCGCATGGCCAGCTGCTATTCGTTTGGAATATTCCTCCACCAATCTAGCCTCTACTATCCAGTCAGAAAGAAAGTTTAAAATTTTATCGAAAAGAGAGGGAGAATCGGGCGATGTACATACCAACTTCCCTCCGCTCAATAATTTTGTCAGTATCATCGTCGCCCACATCATCCACCTCTTCTGGCAACTTCACAACAACAGCACGACCACAGCCACCCACACATTCTACCCGCATAACATCCACGCACGACCACCCGCGCTTTGCCCATTGAACCTCATTTATGGCAGCTGGCTTTGGCGACCATCGATCTACCCTGCGGAACGTCTCGAGCCGCTCGAGAAATCGCTCACGGTCCCATGGTACGAAATTTGGGCGCTGCTGTGATGACGGGGACAGAGAGGAGTGTCGGGGTATATTCGACACGGAAGGCCTAATAATCATATCCTCGGAGTCGGTTACGGAGCCCGACGAAGCCAACCGTACCTTTTTGATAGTTGGATATTTCGCTGGGGTGGGAGAGGCATCTTTGGCTGTCGAAGAGTCTGCATTGGAAGGTTTCTGTACATTGGCGCCGGACAGCGAGTCAAGAACCCTGTGAAATTTCCGCTTCTTGGTAGCCAGCGCGTAAGACATCTTGCTGATGTTGGGCGTTTCAAAGCTCCCCGGGGTGTTGTTCGCATGTGTTGTGAGATGGTTAAATAACCCAAGCAGAGTGCATTTGGCATCATGTGACTTGGCCGGCTTTATCAAGCTCATCCAGCTTCCATCCCAAGAACAACCAATAATGCTCTCGCTTGGTACATTATTACATGCACTTTGCTTATTTGCCTTCTTTGCACTTCAGCTAAGCCTAGCTATTTACTAGCTCTACTGTTACCAGCACATTTCAGCATTGACTGATCCATTGTTTGTGATCCACTTCAAGCCTCATCAGTGAAACTCAACTAGCATGCCTGGGACTTGGACAAGGAACCAAATCCTAGTTGTATTAAATAACCTCAATATCAAAACACACTTCAGCTCACTGCATGACTATATATCTTGTTTGATATTTTTCAGTAAACCACTGCCGACCCGTTTCCTTAATAATTAGCATACAACGAATCTAGGCGCTCTGAACTGCTACAGATATGGACATGTATCAGGTCATGGAAGTATATTCACTTTGGACCATAACCCTCACGGCTGCTAGAATTTCTCAATGGAAGATGCCTATCTACCGCAAAATACAGTGTCCTAATAATTTTGCATTGGCATTGCATAAAAGAAACAAGGACATTTTCATTGTTCTCAAACAGAGCAGTTATGCAGGCATTCTTCAAGTCCCTTTACACACACATGATATGTTTGCAGACTCGCGTGCAGTCAAGACACACTATTGGGTATGTCATTCTGTTCTTGAATGGAGCTCATTTGTTATTGGGTCAATGTATTTATGTTATTCATACTGATTTATTCAGCACAGCATGAGCACATCCTTATTCAACATAATCAGCTCCTACATGCAAGTGCTGATATTGATATCTTCTTAGATAGACTTCATTTATGCTAGCATAAGAGCTAGGTCATGATGTTGGGTATTTAACAAATTGTCCTGTCGACTTTTATTAAGATCTCTACTTCAAACCTCTACAGGAAAATTTCCTCAAAAAGTATTGAAGTGTCCTCCCATTTCACAAACAGGCCCCACATTCAAAGCCGCACAGCAATAAAAATATAGTTCTTCCAAGTGAACCACCCTGATCCCCCTTTACACCTTCCCCTCCCTAGAAGATATCAAATATCCGCTCACTTTCTCAGGCCCGCGAGAAACCAATCAGCTAACAAACCCATACAGACACCATGAAAACATACGGGGCGTTCTCTCTCCCGCTCTTCCTCACCTACGCATCGCTTATCAGCAATGCACTAGCCCTTCCATCCGGAGAGCTCGCAGAACGCCGCCTGGAGTGTCCTATGACATGCCGTGTTCGAGAAGACTGCTGCGGCGGAAGGACCTTGTGCATTGAAGGGGAATGTGTTCCCGTCCCGCGGATTGGGATGATCCGCGAATGGGACTGACGGATTAAATTAATGCCTCTAGTTTGTTTTAGAAACACTTTTATTCACTATATTTCTAGATCTAACATGTATAGCTCTGTCAATAGTCTTGAGAGTGTACCCGGGGGGGATATTCGGTATTGTGCAATGGAACTGGCGAGTTTCAAAGTTTTGGGTTTTACGATTTTGGGATCAATATTACCTTGGATTACTTATTCCACTTCCTCCCTCTTCTTTCTTCTCGCTAAGCTCTCGCATTGTTCATATGAGTTGGTGCAGCTAAGAGATTCGGCGTCAACCACAGACATAATAAATCCGTACACAAAGCTCTACTTATCGCAGGTCATTTCAGCATACCCGGACGCCTTCGTAGGTTACGGCATCGAGCAAAAAGCGTGAGAAACACATGTTACGGCAAGTAAAATGAATTCAGAGAGTCGAATCCATACACAAGTCCATTTCCATACCCGGAGAACCGCAACGGATGGAACATCGTTGGGAAATGGAACAGTGGTAAATGAAAAATGAAGGATGGGCCCGCAGCATTGGATGATGCTGGCCAAACATATGTATACAAGCCTATCATTTCTGGCTCAATAATAAAATGTACAGTACATACACCATTACCCATAATTTTATACATGCATTTCCCTCACTTCTTCTGCGCCGAAGAACCCTACGCCGTTCCTCCTCGTCGCTTATATTTTCTCGGATCTAACGCCCCATTTAACAGCAAAATCACCAACATAGGGAGAGGAGATGTTGGGATCACGGCAGCAAAGAAGGTGCCCAAAACCATGGAAATAAACATATACATACCTTTCCGATTCATTCGCCTCCTATCTCTCGTTCCCTTACCCCCTTCCCAAAACCCACTGCCAGTCTTCCTAGTGAGTGTCGAGTGGCAGATGCCACAGCTCTCTGGACGGTAGATCTGCTCACGGGAGCAAAAACCACTAAAAATAGGCGAGGAAAAATAAGTACATGCAAAGGAATCTCGTGAAGGAAGAATCGCGAGAGAATTTGATCGGTATTTACGAGAGTAAGTAAAAAGTGTAGAAGCCCAGCTTACCATATCATTCGGTTGGCATGTTCATTTGGATGATCCGTTGCAGCGTCATGGCACCTGTAAGAACGATAATATTAGGTTCTGTTCCCCAATTGAAGGGAAGTAACTTAACGTACCTATCGCAGGGGAAAACCTTCAGACAACAAGAGAACCTGCGTACAATAGTAAGCCATTAAAATATTATGAAGTAGTTGATGAAACAGCAATATAATTACACTAATTGCAAAGGGTGCTATGGTGTGGGTACTTGCAGCGGCTAACTAAGTAGCTGCATAGGAATTGGCACAGGATATCATAGAAGCGGCCCCGCCTGAGCTTAACATGTCCACATACCTAAACCATCGGTAACTCTTCCCATAATGCGAGCATCGGCCGCGACGAGGCAATTCCTGTCCAGCTACGATCCCCAAAGCTTCTTTTGGCTTCAAAGTTGTAAAACGGATATGTCAGTATAATTACCAATCCGGGTGCGACTTCCTGGCGGAAATTGGCAAAAGAAGACGTTGGTTATGAATATCGCGGCTGTATGTACGTAGCGTATAGATGAAAATTGGAAAAACCAAAACGATGTCTTGTAAATCTGCTGGAAAAAAAAATTACGCACCTTTTTCACCTTAGCAGGAGTATGAGAGGTACCTGTTACAAATTAAGCAGCCGGTCAGTCCTAATGGATTCCATAAGGGCAATATTGCGCACATTTCCCGGAAAAGTGCGAAAAAAGTGTAAGAGTGTGTGGGGATCAATAAACGGATATACACGGAAAAGTAGCTAAGATGATGTTTGATGGAAAGAAACATGCGCAGGAGCATGCCATCTCCCCGGGTCTCAGGCAGAGATGAAACGGAAACTAGACAAGGGTAAACGCAGGGTATAGATAAACGAAGCCTGAAAATCAGATGCAGATTGCCCGAAAGAGGGAAAGGGAGGGTCAAGCAGCATACGATGAAGGTAAAATTAAGCGGGCGGAGCTGAGAAGAGAATATCATCCCCCATTTCCGAAATATGGGCTGTTGTGCAAGGGGCGGCCACCCTCGTACAAAGGCGTTATTTAGGGAACAAATCAAGCATATTCAAAAAATTCGATAATGAAAATAATTTCAGCCGACTGATTTAGAACTGGTCAACTTACCTCCTCCAGCGCTCACTAGTAAGAATTTCACCTCGGGAATTTTGAACCCTACGGGAAAAAAGAATTTAGTTAATGTTGCAAGTCGCCGACAACGCACTCAAAATCCAAGGAGGGACAGGGATTATCCCGTATCCTCGGGTAAATCCCATGCTTCTGAGAGAACATACTCATTTTATGGTGACATCCACGACAGACTGGCGACGCATCGTCTCCTCGAACCGCAACAATCCCTGGTGCGGGGTAGGTGGTAGAACATTCGGAGCATGTAGGGATAAAAGTGCTAGGATGATATAACAACAATGAGAACGGTGTCTTTCTAGTGATGGGCCAAGGTGGTAGATGGTGTTGCACATATAGACCGTAGCTTGCGTGGTTGCGAACGGCCAAAGAGGGTTGTAATTTGTACTTACCTAGGAAGCAGGTCAAACGCAAGGCATCCCTCCAGATCCAGGTACCCCGCACGATTTGAACTGGGGTGCATTAGTTCGCGGCGAAATCCTAGCTACAAAAATTCCAATGTATGTTAACTAAACTTTGCAATTCTCAACGTCGATGAGATCGTTAATTTCATGGTATATTTCTGCACCTACCAACGCTAAGATAGTTGCCGCACTTCTTGCACGACTCCACCCGTTTCGGGGGCACGCTGATACCGTCATCTCCAATTTTGATATTTTTCATATCGAGAAGTTTCTTGCACCGCTCACATTTCAAGGTTAAATGTAGAGCTCTCAGTTCGAGGAGCTCAATACCCCGGAGTTCCATTGAAGGAAACGACAGGGCCACATCGCGGCCTGTCGGAGCTGGGAGCGTTGATGAAATACTGACACCACCACCCTCATCATCGTCATCATCGTCAGTAGCGCTTTCTTCGGATCCAGAGTAGTCAGAGTCGTCACTATTAGATTCGTCACCCTGCCTGGGCGATATCCATTCTGGTGGGCGAGGAATGACCTGAATATGTGGTCGATCAGCCAGGTCAGCCGGCACTTCTGTCTCCTTGGTCTGGGGTTCGAGTGGAGGTGCAGTAGCGGATAATGGGGTTATTTCTTCAGCTGTTGATTTATTGTTCAATGATAAAGAAGTAACCGCACGACTAAGCTCGGCACTTTTAGCTGGCTGGGCTGCGAGAGTATGTAGCATTGTTGAAAGGTAATTAACGTGCGACGTCAAGCTCGCACTAGAATTTTCTATGACATGCTTTTCGAATAATGCCTCTGTTGCTCTGGCCGAGTTGTCATTGACCCCAGGAATCCTAACTTGGCAAGGCTCAAGGGGATATAACAGGGGGACAACCAAGGTAAGCGTTTTCACAGATCTAAGAGATTGAGGAATTAAATGTGGCTTGAGTGGATTGAGAGGGATGGTAAATGAAACACCATCCGAAGATTTGGAAAATAACGGCATTCTACCTAGGCGAGAGGTAAGTTGAGTAATCTCTTTCTCGCGTCGTTGACGAGCTTGCTCCATTTCTTGACTCATTGCTGTTTCGCGAGGTTGCTTCACCTCCCCCAACCAAGGAGTAACGGTTGCTTCCTGGTCGGCATAACTATCAGGTGGCGCTGTCACTGCCTCCGGATTTGCCATGTTGAAAATATTCGAGAGCGATCTATCAAGAACGTTCAGCTGTTTTAGTAGGGTGTCCGAAATACGAGTCTTGGTAATATTTTCGAATTCTTCCTGGATAAGTATCTTCTCTCTCATCCCTATATTCTCGTCTACTATTTCCAGGGAAGGCGTCCCTCGTAAAGGATAGTCCAGGGGCACATGCATGGCGCAGGCCAGACTTTTCAATAAATCAGAAAAGTCCGGGTCAGAAGGATAGATATCGAATGTTAGAATCGTTCCATCCTCATCAGATCTCTCCTGGGGATGAAAACGGCGCCTAATTTGATTGAGTTCAAACTCCCTAGGATTATCACGCTGGGCACGTGGGGTTGGTCGCTGAACAACTCGAGGTTGGGTACCTTCGGAACCTCGGGGTGAAGAGCTGAATGCCGAGGCTTGGGGAGTTGATCCGCCTTCATTCCTATCCTTGGGGAGTAGGGCCTCGTTGTCAATTGCAGTTTCGAGTCGCGGATTGTTAATATACGAAGAAGGAATCGGATTCCCTGACGACGCGGCCAAAGAGTCGTGCGGCGCCGTTTCATGTGCAAAAGGACAATCATCACCCGCCCGGCATCCTTAGAAGAGGTCAGCATTAAAGACAAGGTGGTATGGTAAAAGCCCAAAAAGTCATGGGAACCAGACAAAAGGGGCAGCAAACGAAAATTCGAAAGGGGACCACCAAAAAACAAAACACAGCAATTTTGGCGCCCAAGAAATATCAAACGGATATATGGACGGGCCAGTTGTATAAGGTATAAACAAGCAAGTGTCGTTCCACAAACAAGTATTATGAAATTCCAAAACGAAGTAATAAAAAAACCATTATGGTATTGAAAAGAGACATGAGATGAGGGAAATGCAAGGCCGAAGATTACAGGGGGACAAATACAAACAACAAGAAATCAATCAGTCAATTAATCAATCACCAGCATCAAGTGAGGACGCAAGGAATTCAATGGGGCATACCCTTTTTGGACCCGAAGTACCGGCACCTGGTCGATTTGCGATCTGGGACTCTGCGGGCTGGGGTCGGCCGTGTATCTATTTGGGTGGGATGAGGCTGAGCGCTTGCCAACGCAGCGCTCACGGGAGACATTTGTCCTATGTTAAAATAAGAATATTGAGTGAGCGTGTGACCAAGGACATGCCGGGATGGGCGATACAAATAAAGAACGTGTCAAAGCGCAGGGGAACCCGCCCAGCACGCAGGGACTGGCTGAGGGAAAGACAGAGAACGGGGAGGGCGCCTAGTCATGACATTTAGTAGGCTCTTAGGGCGATACAACTCAAGAGTTGCGCTCGAAGTAAGGGGGGGAGTGTGTGTCAACTGTGGCAGGCGAGGAGCGGAAGTATCCATGCAGCCACAGCGGCCCGTTTGGACGCACAGGCTGCCAGAAAAGCTTAAGGCGGGGGGGCATTGGGAAATGTTTGGCAGGCGGGTAGGGTAGGGTAGTCTGTAGCCTGTAGCCTGTATAGAGGGCCGGAAAATATGTGAAGAGAGGGCGGGTAGAGTGGTGACATCGAAATTGCCAGCGCATATTTCTCTTGCCACCAGATTTTCTGGTCGTGCTGGTGTTTCTTTCAGCCGCGATTTCCATCAAATGACCTACCGTGGTTATCCATCCCAATCTACTGAGTGGGTGAGAGTGGTCTTACAGCAGTAAGCTGTATGTCTGTATGCATGTATGTATGTACGGAGTCACTAGCACGCCGCAGGCCAAGTACAGTAGAGTAGATGCCCCAGTTGGGATGTGCCGTGCAGTCGGGGCCGATCTGCCCTGTAAATGCGACTCTGTTGCCAATCGACAGAGCTGACCAAGCACGATGCAACCTGCAATGCGATGATGATGGTGATGCTGATGATGATAACTACTGGCTGGTTGTTTGGTTGGCAACCCCGAGATAAGCCTCGTGATTTCTTTATAGATGACCAGCTGGCTGTCCGCTCTCCAGACAAGGACAGCCAATATCAAAAAGGGAAAACAGAAAAGAGTAAATCAAACAGCTTCAGCCGCTCTGTAAAGGAACCTTCCAATCCGTGTTGCAGGCAAGTGTGAGCGACTAGACGACTAGAGATATAATTTGCGGGGACGAAAAAGCAGCCGTCGGCGCCGGAGCCCTGCACGCAAGTCTGGTGACCGGCCAGCGGACGCGACGAGGAGACAACACAAGAGACAGCTCTCGATGCTGGCCAAGGCGCGCTCCCTGATGTGATCGGGGCGGGCGGGAGAAGAGGCGGGGGTGATGGTTAGCCAGTCAGTTCCCAAGGCAAAGCACACTCGAGGCGATACGGTGGCGATGAATCATCTCCAATCCCGCAAGTTTAGCTGCAGAGCGGGATGCAGAAGAGCGCAGAGCGGTCAACCACGTGAGACTGCTCCTTTGTCGCCTCTCTTTGGGTTATAGCAATGATAGGCGGTGGATGTTTTTGATATCTCGTTCAACTGACAAAACCGAAGCTGGAGATACAACACAACGGAGGCATCCTGGACTGTGTGGCAGGTGTGGCACTTGTAAGCAGCCGCCATCCGTCCCTTGGCTTCGTTTCTACAATGTATTTGCTGCGCACGAGTACTGTCTACATTCGACCAGAATACTCGGTACGAAAAGGAATACTCTGTGATATGAAACTACGACGTATGGGAGGAAAGCTACAAAAAAATAAAACTAAAATAAAGAACATTGCTGACTGGTCTGGTGTGGTCCCTCTTGTGCTCCCTAACACATGTACAGAGTACGGAGTAAGCCAACTAATAAATAACAAGCCTCCGATGGGATGGTGGTCAAGCACAGTCTTCAGGCTAAAAAGCCTTTTGAAACTGCGGGAGATCTCCCGTACGTTACGCTGCAAAGTCGTCATTCCTGTCGTGCATTCGCAGCTATCCCGTGATTGCCTCAAAATCACCGATCGCGGAAGCACGTACGTCCTTTTGCAACGAGTCACCTAACTAACTCCAGCCATCGAAATATGGCCCTGACCGCGGTCAGGCAGGATGTGCTCAGACGACAGAAGCCCCGCTCCCTGTCAGGCATCGAGCATCCCACAAGCAAATTTTCGCGGGGGGGGGGGTTTCCCTCCACCCAGTTCTCATTCCTATCTTCCTCTCCAAGTCGGCAGGCCCCGATTGACCCACGCGGAGAATTGCGAAAGTCCAGCGCATCAATGCATGTCTGAGTCATTCTTCTTCTTCTTCAGAGCCAGCAAGCGAGCGAGCGAGCGGTGAGGATGAATGAGACTCCTTGGCGAAAGGCCTCGCTCTATCGATTCTGTATCATCTGGTCTGGGAACTAAGATTGCAGGATGAAGGGTTGAAGGAGGCAAGACTGATGCTATTGACCCGACCCTATTCTCGCTAGTCGCGGGTAGGGTAGTATTTGGAAGTACCGTACGGAGTACATGTACATGTACATGTACATACAATATTAAGGACCACGGTAAAACATTTTTTTGTCAGAGGAGTTTCGGGGGAAATCTCCCCCTCAAAACCATCACAGCCATACAGAGTAACAGTAACACGACATCTACAGCTCGGACAGCTTTGCGTGGACAAGCCGTGGGCATCTCGATTCCACGGGCCTTTGTCTGCAATAGCGGGGAAGAGTTAGGAGGGAGAGTTACTTTTTATTGTTGTCAACAGGAATCTTCCGATGAGCTTATTTTTCAATTGAGAAATGGACGATAATGAACAGGAATTCTCTGCAGGCCCACGAGGGAGGAGATATTCAGAAAGCTCTCTCGGGGTGTTGTATAGTGTGTAACTCTGTATGTAAATCCGAGAACAGCCATTCCGGCATACGCCCCATGTGTATTAATATTAAATGTAATACACGAGGTATCTCCAGAGTACAGATTGCCTGAGCTGGAAATAACGTGTACAGAGTATGAATGTCTAGAAAATTTCGCCAGCAGGAATAGGTCATTGCATTCTTGACATGGCATTCCTTTACGACCAGTCTCTTAGTAGTCATAGGGTCTTTAATGTACATCTCTGTTTCAGCTGACATGTTTGATAAAAGTAAAAATCTAGCTGCCAGACTTCTATCTTCAATTCAAAGATATCTATGAAGTTCAGATCTGAATCTCAACTCCAGCAGGATTCCTGCCTCTGTCCATGATGTGTATGAATTTAGCCAAGTATAAATCTCTTGTTTGTTCAATAGGTTTTAATCTTTTTGATATCAGATAACTAGGAGTGACCACACCCCGCTATAATGACATGTACAGGGAATGGTGTGTACATGTGTCCTGATTGTATTACTGATTGTATGATATCCATAAACAATAAATGTAGAAGTAGAAAGCAATATCTGATAAAATAGATAATCAATGATAACAAGTCAATTTGCGCGAGGGAATTTTATGTATTATTCAATGAAAAGATAGTAATATGAAATACTGTTACAGCAGTCTGTCCTTTTGTTTAAATTTTGAGGTATTGTCAGCAACTCAGTGACAGAGAGCATCAATCTAGAAGTAAAAATAGAGTATTGACCACCGTTACTCCGTCTTTGGTTCTCAACAGTTCATTCCCAAATATCTCATTAAATCCTGCTTCCAATTTATTCTCTTAATCTTAACATGTAGGGCAGCAGTGTGATACCTTTATTATTATTATTACTTTGGACAGCTCAGAGGATTGTATAAAGCTTCTCCTTCCAAGTGCCCAAGGTGGGGGCGGGTGAGATGACGTCGGTACTTTCTCTCCGTTGGCCTCTATGCTTAACTATCTGATCGCCCAGCCATTGAGCCACGGTGGCTTTAGCCCCAAGGTCGTTACATAGATTGCTCTGTCTATCTTATGAAGTTGCAGTGACTTGTTAAGATCATGTAATGTTGATATCATATATCTTGTGAACGGCATCAAGAAGGGAAAGTCAATCAATGATACTTGTAATTTCAAACAATCAATTGCAAAACCTACAAAACTAACCACTCTCCATACAAAGCAAATTGTTTATTCAGATATGCGCGAATGGGAATCAACAACCGGCCCTTTGCCCCATTAAACAAGAGAAGATGAGAATGAAGGGAAGATAGAACAATCGAAAAAAACCAGTACACTCTCCCTATTTTTCTGTGTTGCGGGTTTCTCCCAAGACGTCATCGACTCAGCCCGCCTTAAACAAACCTGAAAAATAAAAACAAGATAATAATATAGAGACATATTTCACAAAGGAATCAGATTCCCACATGGCATTTTGAGTCTCTTGAAGGTCTAGATCATGATCGTGTAGTATCATCAGACTTTGCCTTTCTTTCTATTCGCCTGTTGTAAAACCTTTTTTTTTTTCCCCTTCTTGATACAGAAAACCTGAATAAATGTTGAGCATTAGTATAATATTTCAGCGCTACGTTATGCGGCTACTACTCTTCCATCCTTCTTTTTCCTCCTTTTCCTTTCTCTCATTATCAGATGTTCACCCGCCCCCCCCCCCCCCCCCCACATCTGTAGTGTATATGTATCTAACGTATCAATCAAGGGCACACACTCGTATGCTGCTAGACGAAGATCCGTAAACGATGCAGGTGACGGGGGCGCCGTTCTTGATGGCTGAATGGTTAACTAACTAGCTGCAACTCCTTTCCATCAGATCCCGAAGGAAGCGGCCCAGTGCCCAGGGCCCAGGCATTATCAGGTGCCATCTCATGTTTGCGACGCTCAGGAAAAGATGCCAAAATACTGCAACGAAATCGAATGCTCCAGGCCGGCTCTTGTCTGGAAATACGGACAATGCGATATATAGGATATATATATATAGGCAGGGGGGGCGAACGAGTTCGCACCCACCCAGTGCTTTCTGTCCATGTAAGGGGCAATAATGTCAACCGCTGACAATTGCCACTGATAAAAAAGAAAAGGGGGAAGGGGGGAAAAACATGCTATGATGCCAGCGGCTAGGTAGTGCTCATCCACTCGCCCCAACCAGCTCTGGCAGATATTAAGAATGAAGAAAAAAGGTAGTTAGTTAATACAGGAAAGAGAGAATGAACTAACTATACGCAAAATGTTGATCACACTAACTTAGTGAGGCTGGCGATGCTGCAACCGCCTACTGGCTAGTTAAGTTAACTGGTTTAGGGGCCTTGGTCCCCCTTGGCGACGGCTAATGACGGTGATCAGCCCCGCGGACAGAGCACAGAGAAGACCTGCCTGCCGATCGAGGCCTGGGCTTGTAAGTATGTAGCTCTCATACTGGAAATGCTCTTTTCCGTTAAAACGTACTTCGGATAGGAGAAGAAGAGGAGGAGAGACACGTATTTTTAACTGCTTATTGTAGCTGTCATGAGAGAGAGCTACAAGTTTGGATTTCTGAGCGCACTGCGGGGTACACACAGCATCTCTTACGTCTCTACGGATTATGCCTGCTCGCGAAGCAGGCATGTTCTTGCAGTGACAGTGGCCCAACAGATTCTAGACACTGATCTAAATATATTCCTGTTTTTAAAAGTATCAGGAACAAACTCTACAGACTGAGAACACCATTTGTTACAATAACAGCTGTCACAAAACATAAAAATTATCTTTACATGTATAATATAAATTTGCCTTGAAGTGGATTTCTGACTGTCATCTACATAAAGTATAGACTATTGATGTATCTATCACATAATATCTCTAGAATATCAGACATAAAGGTTGTAAATTCACACAGAAAACTCATGACTCTTTCATAAAAGCAATCTCTTCAGCAATTAGAATAAGAGTAAAAGAAAGAAAGAAATGAAGATCTATAGACAGAAAGAATGTTAATTTAATAAGATATAAAATGTGTTAATCTGTGTAACACTATACAAGTTTTATTTTTGTTTTTATTTTTTATTTTTTTGACATTTTTTATGTTCTATATATACTGCTCTATTTTAAGAGCTTTTGCAATCTGAATTGAAATAGTAAGATATCAGACAACAGTCTAAAAAGTCATACAGATAAAATTGTTGTGCATTTGCAGAAAAATTGAAAGACTGTCTGTAACTTAACATATTAAAAATAAATGTGAAATATTAAATCTTCATTCTAAACACACAAAAATAACTTTGAAATACAATGTTCTGATTCAACAGTATCTGCAACTTTGATACAATCTGTATCACTTTATAAAATGATGTATTCTATACTTGTTGATATTATTCTGATATGCAAGGCTCTCTCTTGTCTCAAATCAAGAAATGTAAATATAATACACATTAGCGAGGATTATTTAACCAGGTTTTGAAAGATAAAAAATGAATAAAAATTACGAAATTATTAGACTGAGCAATTGATGATGTCATACAACTCGGTGTCAAAAAAAAAAAAAAAAAAAAAAGTAATGATAGAGTAGATCAACTTCACCTCTGTTTAATTAGCAGCTGCTGCAGGCAAGTTCTTCAGATCACTGGCATGGAATGAAAATCCGGGGAAAGCTGCATCAACCCCTTGCAGATCTGATGAGTTTGGCAGCCAGAAATTACCAACTATTAAAAAGAAGAAGCAGAAACAAACCAGCGACTTTAAAAATGAGGCGGAAAAAAAAAAAAAAAAAAAAAATCAAGATTATCATATAAATGCAAGGAGTTTTATTTTTGAGGGAGTGAAAAAGAAATATATTTGAAACTTGTGCAACATTTTGATCCCAGGTTAATTGAAGATCATGATCATCTCGGCTCTCAAGGCGAGATTTGCCCACACTTCTTTAGGCCCGCATCTCCCCTCTACTGTCAAGGATAATAGAGCCGGGCTGAAAGAAGAGTAGGAATCATCAAGTTTGTGCGGCCTTGTATTGATCTGATTCGGGATTTTTGAGAATCTGACTGAGAGAGGGGTGGCTCAAAGCGCACACACTGACGATGGTGAAATGGGCTAGCCATAACTAAGTGAGCTCAGAGAACATGAATTTGAAAACCTCTGTGAAACGATGATGGAGAGAGTTGCTTCTCTGCCTGATTATATCTATTATGCAAGGTTAGCAAAATACATGATATCAATTGAAAAAGAGCTGGGCTGAGCAGGCGTGTTTTAATGAACAAGAATCGCAGCCAGCTAAATCGAGAGATTGAGACTCAATCTTATTCACCCAATGCTATGTATGTACATGTACATGTACTTACTCCCTGATAAAAAAAAGATAACACACAGCTTGATTGTACCCCTACTTGAGCAAGTTAATGAATGATGTGAAGAAAAAAACTGGAAACCAGGTCCAAGACAAGACATCCACAAACTATTTCCCTGTATCCCTTACTGTCTGAATGTGCACTGTATGATGGTCAGGTATGTACAGATGCAGGTACCTTAGGTACCTTGTACACCCACACACCTACACAGAATCACAGACACACACACACACACACACACACACACACATACACACACACATGGGAGTAAGTAACACAGTACCTGGATGTTCCAGGCTCCTTTTACATCTGCAAAATCATGTTTTGAGGACAGTATGTATGTGTGTTGTGTGTACGAAAACATAACTATGCCATTTTCTTCTGGGGGTTTAAAAAGCCGCGATGTCTGCATTCAGATATGCTTAGTTTCACCCCGCCCGCCGCAAACGCGCGACAACATCTAGGCCCTTGCACTTTCTCCTGCGGGATTAAATCCGCCCCTCAGCCTGCAACTGCGAGACTAATAATAATATTAGCCATGAAGTGGTACTTGATACATTAATATATTATTAGTAGGTTGGCGGTGTATTCGTTAACTAGTTAGTGAGAAAGGGATAACTACTATTAGTAGTCAGCTGAGACGCTGCGCAAACTCGAAAATCATGGCAGTCCCGATTGATTGCAACTTCTAACGGTACGAACAGGGGTAACCTCAAATTTTTGACTGCTCCGTACTGTACTAGTTTGTTCATTATTGGAAGAGATGAGAAAAAGAAAGATATATCTTTTCGCTTTTGCTTTCTTTAACCTCTTTCCGCCCCGGTTGTTATCAAGCCTCATGACCTTGACCTTCGGGACCAAGGACTGACTATTCGTGCATAACACAGCGTACAGCGGGTTGACGAGGCCAATTAAATTCTCAGAAAATGCACTGAACGACCAATTGAACAAAAAGCGCAGATAAAAGATAGAAAAGAAGAAGAAAAAGAAAAAATAGAAATTACCGAGGTGCTATCATCAGATGACTCCTGCCTGTGCAGAACAAATAAACATTATTATTATTGCATCTGCATTCTTGCATGCAGAGATCAGCGCGATGAAGTTACAGGCAGTTAACTAATGACAACCAATCAGTGAAAAAAAAAAAGAAAAGAAATAATAGAAATAACTTAGTTACCCGCCGCCCCCAATTCCATCCATCCTGCAAAAGAAAGAAAAGGCATGTGCGGAATCTAAGTTTCTTGATAGTTCAACTTAGCTTTATCTTGCTTTTATGACTTTCTGATAATCTGTGAGTAGAGTTTATAGTTTGATCATATTTCTAGTTCAACTCTCAACTCCAATTACTAGCAGAATGTCTGGGGTAGGCGAGTTGAAAAATGAGAGACAGAGGATGTTTCAATCTACAGAACCTCTCAACCCCCATGATTTCTTCTTTGTCATTATTGGGGGAGTTAACATTTTGAAGAATGAAAAACAACAATGCTGGGGTGGAACTCATCCTCAACAAACAACAGCTCAGTTAGCGCCAGGGCGGCAAGAGAGGGAAACATTTATCACATTATTCCAGCAGCTCATGGTTAGGCAGGTGTTTGTTGGGATTTATGAAATAGCAACATGAAGTAGTTATAATTATTAATATTGGTTTTACAAGCCCTCTCCAACCCCTATCTGTCAACCAGATTAACTTCATATCCAACATGCCGAGTCTGACGCCAGTGACTTGCGTCCCAACCACTTTGTCATTGGTTCCTGGAGCGTGAAATCAGAAAGAAAATTGGCGAGAATTAAAAAAGGAACAGAAAGGACGAAAATGCTAAAACACGATAATTGTTATTTGTACACATGAGCGAAAGCCGACAGGTGAGGTGGGACATTATTGTAAGGAAATGAAAATACCCCACAGTCAACAGTCGTACGGACCGTAGTTAGTTACCCTACCTACTAGTTACCTACCTACCCTAGAGTACCGTACCTGGGGCACTTGGGTACGGGGGTAAGTTACATGGTGAAAACAGGTTTCGAATTTGAAAACCCCCTGTTGCATGAAATACCCAGGAATAAATGATGTAATTAACAATAACAAGAAGGACGAGGGCGGAAGTCCAGTTGCAGTACAACAAGGCTGGCTGACTCTTGATGCTGTGACTTAAGAAGCGCAACGTGTGGTGCAAATGAGTTTAGATTATTGAACAGTTTGGAGAAGGATATGAGGGTCAGTTGTGAGGCCGTCTTTTCTCTTGATTTAAGGCTTGGTTAGTTAGCCCTGATGTTACTAGTTAGTCTATAACTATAGGCAGCGTGGGGAGAGTTTGGGGATTTGCAATTTTGGTGAACAACACTACAAAGTAGAACTCTACGGTGATATGATAGTAATAAATGTTATCATCTTCTTCAGAACAGCATGTAACTGGCGCGGATCCATCTCCTCACGAAAATGAAAACGATGAAAAGAAAGGGGTTCCCCGATGTATTGAACTTTAAAAAAAAAAGGAAAAAAGAAAAAGAAAAAAAAACCAAAAAGCCCGTCCCCGCAATCGAAGGCCTAATATAGCGACGGAGCTCGCCGACAAGAGTCAATATCAGAGGGATACATAGTACAAAAACGAAGAGAGCAACGTGCCACAGCATACAATAATGCATCTGGAAGCCTCAGCCCCGTCCATATAACCTTCCAAAACGCTTAGTTAGACATAGCTATATAACCATCCTCTTTATGAAGTTATAAACTTGGCCTCTTATTACGCGGCCCAACGTACAGTGTACATATCAAAACAAATCATCTCCCATAGCAGGACTTTCGCGATTCTAGAGAACCACTCCTACAACAAACGCATAACCACATATCCCTTATACCAGTAGTCCGTACACACAAAATGAAACCGGTGAAATGAAAGACAACTAACTATAACATACAAATTGTAGTCATGTATGGTATGTAGTGTATTTACACCTCAAATGAGAAAAACCAACCCCAAGTCCCTGCATCCTGCTCGTCTGGAATAATGAAACGCGTATCACGCACAGCATCTGCAATCCGGGGTACATGCATACCTGCACAACAGCATCAGTCCCTCAATCCTCATTGCTCTGCCTCTGTCCCCGTCCCCCGGTTTCACACTCCCTCATTCATTTTCATTATTGATTCAAAGCCCTCTCCATCCCCACTGGTCACCTGTGCGTACGCGGGCAACTGTTATTATATCTGTCACGTATGCAGGGTAGGCCACAGGTGAGAAAACAAAACAATGAAAAGCAGGCTGCAGGGTCTGCGGGCGGGAAGGGAAGTTGAGTACGGGAAAGGCGAAAACAATAAGGTTAATCCAACCCTAATCAACCCCCGCCCTCCTTTTCTTTTTCTTTTTTCTTTTTCCTTTCGCTATGCTTGGTATCCTGATGTGTGGAGTAAGAGAAGGAGGAAGGCGGGTAAAACCCTTGGGTTAAGGGTGTTGATGTAAAGAATTGCGCTGCATTATGCATTCTGTAGGCTGCGAGTGCGGGTGAATCTTGGGTTGGATGCGACGCCAACCTGTGGTTGGAAACAGTGAGATAGATTATGAAGAGCAGCAGACGAAGGAATAGAGAAAGAAGAGAAGAAAATGAATGGCTTTCATCATCTTATGTCTATGATGAAATGATGAACACTGAGAGTGATGTAGGTAAAAAGTGCACTCAACCAGCAGTTGTATCTATCAAATGTAATGTAGCACCAAAATAAAAGAAAAGAAACAGCTAAACTTTGTCCTGGATCTGCCACATCAACGGTGTTGATATCAGCAAATACCGACAACTCTCTTTTCTTTCAACCCTGTAGACCCGGTTATCCTTCTCCTTTCCCTGCATGTCATGTCATGTAGATTTTGGCAAGGCTGGGGGCTTGACATAGAATATGCACGGTAGATCAATGCATCGCATCCCGTCACACCCGTACATATCAATATCGTATCAGTGATCTGATAATCAATCCTCTTCCTCTTTCTTCTGTTTTTCACTCCTTCTTCTTTGTCTGTCTGTCTGTCTGTCTGTTTCCTTTTCTGCTCTTTATTCAATCCCCCTCTCCCAAGTTCCTCTACCTGACTACATCTCATCCTTATAGTTGGATTTTGCCTGCAGCCTGGTTGGCGGAGAGCGAGATCACACCCAACCCAACCAACCCTTCGAGGCAGGCGGGCGGACAGATAAAGGTCAAAGAATTTAAACCAACCCAAGCCAATGAAGAGAGAATAAAAAACTCATGTGACATAGATTGGATTAAAAATGGGAAGAGAAATGAGGGAAGTGTTGTTTCCCAATAATAATGTTCAAACAGTGGGCACAACAATCATTTTTATTTTTAGAGGTAAGATGCTCCGTAGAGGGTCAGTTGAAATAGAATCAAGAATACCAGTCTAGACTCAGATGAAGAGTAGATAACTATACAATAACTTCTCATCAATATCACAAGAAAAAAAAAAAAGGCAGTGTAAAAGCTTGATTCCACATAAAACTATAACTATAACTACGGTTTAGTCACTCTTGGCTTTCAGGCTATGAGCTCCAACCCACAGATCTCTCAGCATTATAATCCCCCTCAGGTGTACTCCGTATACTGCGTAGAGTATGCCCCCCGGGTATTAATAAGAGATCACCTGGGGGATAGAGAATTCCCCCGGGTATAGAGTACCCCCAGATATAGAGTCCCTCCAGGTAATATAGCACCCCCTTGGATATATAGAGTTCCCCCGGGTATTTTCATACAAACCTTCAATAAGGAGGGAGACCTTGATTGCCAATACAATCAAGTATCATGATGTGTTGCTCTTGGTATAAAAAATACCCATTTGACCCAAATGTCACTCACACTATAATAATAATAAGCTGCTGGCCCGTACTAACTTCCCGTAACAAACCTAGCGTCTTTCCCGCGCCGCGGAAGCCTCGGGGGGGCGGGGCCTAATTTTCTCAGAGAGAAACACCCCCCCCCGCGCCCTGAATTCCGGCCCGCTACAAAGTAGTAGAGTAGTGAAGTGTAATAGTGTAGTTAATAAAAGAAAAATCCCACGCCGAGAGTTTCATGATATTGGACGTCGTCGTGATCGATCCCCCCCCACCAACCACCACGCCGCCGCACACATTCCATCCAGCATTTGCATTCTCTTCCCGCATCTAAGCCGTGACAAAACTCTATTAAAACGGGGAGAGAGAGGAGGAGGACGGAAACTTCGCAAGTTTGACAGATGACATGACATCACATGACATGGTTAGATGGGGCATGGCATGGTTATTGCCCTTATGCCAACTCATCAGCGCCTAGACTGCTTCAGTGTTTTGAATCCCAGCTCTGGAGCAGCCTGTGAGTGAGGAGTGATCAAGAAGCGGTGAAGCAGGCATGTGTAATAATAATAATGTATGTATGTACGTCTATGTCTATGTGTGTATGTGTCTGGGGTCAGCATACACTGGGCCACCTGAGCGATGTGCTGTCCTTTTTTTTTTTCTTCTTTTTTTTTGGTTTTCTAATTTGTATTTTTAATTCATTAAGTAGCTAATAAATAGCTATATACATAACAAGAGGTACCCAAGTACGTGTACATGGACTGGAACATGAAGTGTCATAAAACGCCCTTTCTGAATTAGACCGATTCACCTAGCAACCCTGGCCATATAGAATTAAAACAAATCCGTTCATGGAAAAAAGCAAAGAACAACAAACTGATTGAAGAAGTTAATGTATGCATGGTATGTATGTATGGTAATGGTATGCTAATATGCACTGGCAAAGATGAGGTACATGAATGGAATCAAGTATGAAGGTAACAAGAGAGGCCGAAGAATAAAAACACAAACAAAATAAAGCTATGACGGGAGTTGCCTTGCGTTTATTGCGGGAGAAAAAAAAAGAAAGAAAAAAATATCAAAACAAAGGTGTGGTTGTTGAGGTTGGGGGGTATCTAAAAGTGCAAGTATGATAATAATACTATAATGTTGGGAATAAAGACGAGGTTCGGTGAGCGACAGAAACGAAAAAAATGTATGATGCAGACTCAGGCAAACTATGCAGTCAACGACAAGGTGGGGGCAAATATATATATAAAAGTGAACATGAAGGAAATTAAAAAAAAAAAATAAAAAAAATCACCAGCCCTTCACATGATATTCGTAGGGCCAGTAGTCGAAATAATGATTCCACGAGTTATTCTTGGAGGCGTCTTTATCTGCTGCGGCGTTTTGCGTCTGTGTCTGGGTCTGGGTCTGCTTCTGGCCGTTCAGCTTCGTGCCCACGGGGCCAGGATATTCTTGCAGATTGGCCATGTCATGCGCTGTATGTCGTCGCTTGAAGCCTGCGTTGAGAGTGGTGGCCTTCTGTTGTCGTTCCCAAAGCAGATGTCGTCGTAGAGACTCTGTCAACTCTGTAGCGAGCATGTTTCTTCGGGTTGTTCGGGGAGAGTGGGGGACTTGGTGCTGGTAGGTGGGTATTGATTTAACGACTATGGGTTTGGAGCGGGGCATGTCGGGCCCTTTCATTGTGAGGGTGTTCTCGTCGCTGTCTGGGGATGCAGCGGCGGAATCGCGGGTTGGTGAGGAGAGGCGCGATCGTTGGAGAGCGGGGGTTGATCGGGAGCCTGGGGGTCCCCCGGATTTGCTGACGATGGGACCGTTCATGCGTTGTGGTTGGTGCATCATCATTGTTAGTAGCGACCGTCGCGAGACGAGATTCGGTCGCGAATCGACGCGCTGGAACAGTTCCTTCTCGTCTATGCTCGATCGACCGCTTTCGGTAACGGAGTCTTCCCAGTCTGAGGAATCGTCGTCGTCTTCGATGGCGCTTTCAGAGATCTCTTCATCATCGTCGGTCTCGATCGCATCCTCATCCTCCGAACTCTCAGTAATTGGTCGGATGGGTGTTCTGGAACTTATCGAATTTTTTAACATGGTCATCTTCTGCATAGTGTTAGCAACTTGGTGAAGACCATCTGATAGCGAGCTGCGTTGTTGTTGTGGTTGTTGTTGCTGTTGGGTTGGTTGTTGGGGTTCCGCTGCGAGGCGATCCTCAAAGGAGCTCTCGTCATCACCTGATGAGCCTCCTAGGGTAAACATCCCACCCTTCTTTTTGAGCGGTGAGCCTTTTTGTGTCACTGTCGTCTTTGAAGGAGCGGGACTCGATGATATTTTTGTATGTGATCGGTATGAGGAGGAAATATGCGATGGGGAAAATCCGCGGACTATGGTGGATGACTCCAACAGTCCTGAGGACGAGACGCTGGTATCTGAGCCTACTTGAGGAGCGTGGTCACTCTCTAGGCCGTCGAGAGCAGTTGTAGAACAGGAATCTGACGATTGATGAGGGCGGACAGCGTGCGATTCTATTAGGGCGGGAGTGGGAGTGGGTGACGATGGGCGAGATTTAATGACGACTATAGCGGGGGCGGCAGCTTTAGTTGTCGCAGTCGCTGCGGGTTGAGGTGCGAGTTGAGGTGTGGGTGTAGGTAATGATAAGGGTTCCAAATGCTTCTTCTCCTTGATAGTATAAACCATCCGTTCCAATCCCAACGATGTTATATGCTTTTCCTTCCCTCTGCTTATACTCAATGCCGATTCATCTTCAAGGATGGTAGGCTTGAGATCGAGCGTCCGCGATGCGTTGATGTGGCTTTCAATGCGTTCCGCCTCATCCGAAGCGGCAGATTCCACGCTCGACGACAGTTCTGGGATCTCCCTGGACTCATATCGTAATCGTCGGACCTCTAGAGGAGGGATTGCTGCTGGTGCTGGTTCGACGCAAAACGTTTCTCTGGTCCATAATCTCCAGCTCAGGTTCTCTAGCCGTCTGCCTTCCTCCATGTAATCTGCACATTTCGAGAAAACTAAATCGTGCAATAAAAAAAAAGGAATCAGTACAACTGTTCATGTTCATTTCCCCCGTTCATTATCTTCTTCCCGCCCACAAACACCCACGAACTGAGTAAAGAGAATACTAACCCATCCACATTCCATGTAGCGACTCTGCATTTCTTGTATCCACCTCATGAATCTTCGCCGCGTCCACCGAGAGGACGGGGCTGTTTAATCGTGAAGGCATGATTTGTCCGGCTGCGTGTCGTAGAGGGTTAAGGGAGGGCATGTATTCCTCGAAGCGAATCCTTTTGTTCGCTGTATAATCCAGCGTTGCTCCTTCAAAGCAACAGTTCCACTGTTCTCTCCCTCTCTCTCTCTTTTTCCCTTTTTTCTGTTTTGTCTACCGCAGTCCTTTCCGAGGTGATTTTCAATCTCTTGATTCCCTTGTAAGCCGGCGGCCTGCTTTGCTAAGGTCCCGAATTTGTCGATCCGAATCCTCCTCAGTGTTGATAATGCAGCAAATTCAGCAAATTCAGCAAATTCAGAAGCTGGGAGTAATAATTATTGGAAGTGTCGAATTAACGAACGAATGGCATATAGTGTCAAGGGGAGTGGTGGTGGTGGTGGGAACAGAATTGGGGCTGATGAGCAGGCCGCGGTTATATATATATAGCAAGGCTAATTAATTAATCCTCAGGAATCGCTCGTGGCAAGAGCAGGCGGAGAGTATGGTACGGTACATGAAATGTGGAGATGACTGTGGGAATTCGGAGGCAAAGGGCAACGAGAATAATATATAAAGAATAATAATTATTTTCGAAGATGATTAGAATAAATTATTAAGGATTATTTTTTATGGTGAGGTGGAAGGTTTGGGTTAGTATTTTTATACATATATTTTTTTTTTTTTTTTTTTTTTTTTTTTTTTTCTGTCTTTATTATGTTCT